TTATCACATCGACAGTCATCATTTTGATTATATCTAATTTCAAAAGTCATACCATCAAAATCAGTGAGTGTTGAAAAAATACTACTGTTAACTTTTTTAATTGTCAAATGCTTACTTATAAGTAGTATAATAATTTTCTTTTCAGTTTCCACTAAAAAGTTGAAAAATTAAAATTTTGTGAGTTAGTGTATTATATTTTCCGTTGCGTAATAATACACAAATGAGTGAAAACCAGGCCTGATTTATTTTTAATTACTAAAGAATTGGATTTCATCAAACATTGCATTATTAAACATATACTATATCAAACTGATTTGAAAATGTATGAAGAGTTCACAACAAAGAACAAATTCTTAGTTAAACTCGTAGCAAAGTTTTTTTAAGATCGAAGCATCGAAAGTAAGAGAATATCATAAGAGAAGTAGAGTAAAGTCTATATGATAATAATGTAAGGAACAATTGAATTCACCTACATTGTTGCAAACATAAATTGGGATAAGAATATTCCGCTGAACAAAATAAAAAAAAATTTTCATATAGGAGTCGGGTACAAAACGTATACATGGCTTTACCTGCCATTGCATATTGCTATAACACAGAAATATTTATACCATATCATTGGTATTAAGCCATGAAAATCACATGTTTCTAAAATTAATTTTTTTCTGAATTATATGGATTCTATGCTCATTGAACGTAGTGAAGCTTCGAAGTCACAAGATCATTTTAAAATCACTATTAACATATTTCTACATTACAGTTATACCGGGTCTACTCCTTCGTTGCATTTATTACTTTTTATCAACGCATATTACTTAAAAGTAAGTAAACGTTTATTAAAAATTATTCTCGATCAGCATCTAAGTAGTCAATCGGTCAATTGATTGTAAATAAGACTGGATCAGCTATATTAAACTGCACACTTTCTTATTTTTCGCCGTTCTCATAAAGTGACTTCTGTTGATCTTATCAAATCAAATGTGAGTTTTTGATTTAAACAAATCTTTTACGTACACGTAAACAAACAAACGGAATCTCTCATCATTATTCAACATCCAGTATGAGTTTATTCAAAAAAAAATTGACAGGAATTCGTTGTTATGAAATTCAAAAAACTTCGCAGTCATCTTGAGCGGATAGTGATAAATGCAATCGTTCACATATGTCCAATAATTTAAAAATCTAGAGTCATCGTTTTTTAAATCAACGTGCATTACATTCTTCTGCCAAAGCAGAAGAAGCTGATGATTTTGTAAAGGTAATCTAATCCAACAAACAATAATGAAAAAAGTATATTACTTAAATACCGGGTGATGTGTACTCATAGAAATTAGTTAAACAACATTTATTGAAGTTTAAAGTTCTTCTAAGTGGTATACATTCGGAATATGGATAGACAGATATTCATTGTTCACTGACTTTCAGTTACGTTCAAGTTGGCATCTGTTAGTGACGATAGCTACCTACAATACTCACTTTTTATTTAATTGATATGTAAAGGAATAAATAAATATGGATTTTATAGTTGACTGTAAAACACTATTATCCATATTATCAATAATAATAAAAATTGGTAAAAAAAAAATACAAAATTCTCACAGCCAACCAAATTTTCTGTCTAGAAACTCATTATATTATCATGAGTACAATAGCTTAAAAAACCCTAAAACATTAAACTCCCGTTTCGTTCCAGTGTGAGACTCCTCGGCAGTGAGCATCCACGACCCCACACGCGAGATTCGAACCTAGGACCTTCGGTTTCATGACCGAATGCTTAATATATAGACCACTGGGCCGGCATCCTACGATGTTAATGTCTATCTTCAATCGATCCATGATCTCGCGTCACCCTTCATCAATTGTCTGAAGTGGACAATTATCTCCACCCATCACAGATTGGACTCTACTGTGCACAACTTCTCACTAGAACTTCAAGAAATCCATCTTGAAGCTAGCCACTAATGAGCACATGATAATTATCAGAATGGGGATTTGTGGAGATTGTTTAAACTATCCAAAGTTGAAATTTCATGAAATACTTTTGAACTGATAATATTGTAACATACTTTCTTAAGAGAAAGAAAAAAACATACCAAAAGGAAAATGCATTGTATCACCTATTGTACAACACAAAAAGAAAACATTAATAACCTTGCTTGTAATAATTTTTTTTATAACTTGTTGAATAATAGATAGTGTGATTATTACATTCTTTTTTGGTTACATACTCTACATATTTACCTTTTTATGTTTAAAATAGATATCATTGGATCATTTGTGCTATGAATACTTAAAAATCATGTAATGGATTATAATTACAAGTAATTAATGACTGGTACTAATCATAAAATCGAATACCTGATCAATTTTTTACATATAAAAGGTATTCGTTGAAATTAATTTGTATATATGTATATGATAATGGTGTCGGCAATTAGTTTTAATGTGAAAAACTCTAAATGTTATTCATTTTATGACCCCAGTTAATACTCTAATCCATTAAAAAGAGTATAAATTACAATGAGGATTTGAATGAAAAGATTACAAATGAACATTTCCAATAGTCCTTTTTTCTTCTCGGCTTCTTTTTATTTTGTCATATACTTTATCGTATAGATGACTTAACATATCATTGTGTATATTAGACTAATTAAATTGAGTAATCGTTCTTATCTATAATGAGTTAATTACCATACTTAAATAGTTCATGTCGTTAATAACAGTTTAATAAATAATGTTTGTTAGAAAACACTTTCTTGAGGTTTAACACTTCTAATTATTGAATTATTAAAAGAAAGGTTTAAATAATTAACATTAGGTCTTTATAGTTTACATCACAAAGTTCATTTAGTTGGATAATAATTGAAAACTACCAACGGGATCGAAAGATAGTTGTGAGATATCGTGCATTAAAGTTAGACAAGTAAACCACTAGATCCCGTGTCAGCAGTTTAAGGATTGACCTCTCTTAGTGAGACTTAAAGTCCTAGGTTCGACCGCTGACGAAGTCGTGGCTTCGCATTGCTGAAGAGTCCCACACTAGGACGAAATAGTTATCCAGTGCTTCCTGGTCCTTAATAGTTGTCTAATTAGGATCAGTTCCTAATGTAAACCATGAAATTCAACAATTTTTAAAAAGCCCCTAGAATTGTAGGCTTTCATATATTATGTTCAATATTGTCTCCATTTAGATAGGTTTCAAAATTTAGATAATGTCCTTAGTTGTAATATAATAATTTTAATGTAAAGGTTAATAAGTATCAAAGTCTAAATCTAGAATTTGTACAACATGATTCATTCAATCAGTCATAACCAACGTACAAACTGACACAAATGTACATTGCCTCAATTTGCTATACTATATGAGCACAACATTATATGTTAACGTATGACTATCGGTTACACTAGTTGTTTAATAAATGCCCTTTCAATCTGTGGTTACATGTTTGACATTTATTAAGTAAAACGCGATCATGTTGTTTTAGTAATATTAAAGGTTTATTTGATTAAGATTGTGGATATTCAGTTAAGTGATACATTTTTGACACTCACTTGATTAGAGGTGATGGTGTTTGACTGAATAAACGTCGATCTAGTTGATCATATCAGTCAAGTATTTATAGATCATCAACAATATAAGTACTTAATTGAAAAATAGCTTCATCAGCAAAAGATAAATTGCATAGGAAAGCTATCCAAATATACTACTTTAAAAAAGTTGGTCAGTTAACTCAAAGTAAATGAGAAACAAAACAGTGAAACCAACACGATTTCATTCAAGTAGGGTAATAAGTACTGATATACTATTAACGATGAAGTAGACTGTAAACAAAATTGATGACCACCATTTATTGACATAAGTAAGGCTGAACTATTGGCATTATTCAGTAATAGAGTTTCTTCATTTTTATTTATACTTTCTTAGAGTCATTTATACCATAAGACAGGAAAATTATTCGATATTTGTTAGATTGTTTAAGAGATTAAAACTAACTCAAATTAATTCATCAATCAAAACCAAATAGCTTCGATTTCCTCAGCTTATACCTAGTTCTAAAGATAATAATACGATTAAAATATATCGAATAACATAATTTGATGATGTAGAGTAGTGTACAATCAAGTGGAAAAAAACACCAGATAATTCAAGGATGACTGCTGAAAAACTGAGATACAACAAAAGATATATCGTGGTCAGAGCGTAAAACTCTTGACAAAAGTAGAAATAATTCCTAATATGAATTATACGAATAAGCGCATGACTTAAAAACAAAATTTCAGACGTTGAATTAATTGTACAATACAACCGATAGCCAATATATCAGTCACTTATTTTTAAATTTCATTAAACTATGAATATATCCTAGTTTCGTCATTAAATATGCTCATATTTTTTTGTTTTCTACTGTGAATTTTCAAGCAAAGATTGATTAAAGTGATTTACTCTTGTGTTACGATCAAAATTCTCATTAGTTGTAAGTGTATGCTACTTATTTTGACAGATATAAGTAGTATGCGACACCAATCAGAAGTGGAATGACTGATAGAAGATTGAGAAGATCGAATTAAAGAGAACAGGAAGGAAAACAGAGAGCAATTGTAATAACAACAGAATTGAAGTAATAATGAAGCATGTAAAAAAACAATTGATGGGAGATGTGCAAATAATGTATTTAATGTATGATTTTCATATTTTAGGAAAGCACTCTTTAATTTTGCATTAAAAAAAAAAGATTGGTTATCCCCACCAATTCTTCGTTCACTACAGTATTATATTCTGCCGCCTAATTAGTAAATTTGGATCGTTGCATTATAAAACTTTCTGCTCAATGATAACTTGTTTACATCCTCATGAGATTAATTCAAAGTTATTCTCAAAATTCTAAAATAAAGTGGAGAGAACTTTTCAGTTCCTCAATAGTTCACCAACGGATTCGAATCCCATATCCCAAAACTGGAAACCCCATTATTTGATTTTGAAAATATTAGAAAAACAATACTTGTCTCATAAAATATTTATTTGCTTCCTAGATTTTTTTTCAAGGTGAAATAGAGAAATCAAATCAAATTTCAACACAACAAACAAATAAACAATTCAAGGTATTCTTAAAACAGGACAATAAAAAGCGAACAGCATTATAAGAGAAAGAAAATGTATGTATGCATTTGTAAAGGGTGCAGCATTATATTCTTTTCCCACAGAAAAAAAAAGAATTGTACACAGGTAAAATGTCTCATGTGTTGTGTATTTCAATCTGTAATATGGATAAATAATGTATTAAACAGGTTAAAACCAGTAGTATGTGAACAATTCACGCACGTACTATCACTTTTACAAGTATGATTCACAAGTTTCTAAAACGTGTACTAAAAGATGATCACTTGTTTTTATGTAACAACAGAAAGAAGCATACACGAACACGGATGCACACACATACACACATACATACATACACAGATAAACAAACATACACAATAAATGTGAATGAAAGTTTTTTTCTAAGGGGAATCAAAAATCAAATTGATATTATATGCCCTACTAGTATTGTTTTCCGAAAAAGAACAAAAAAATTATGCAAAAAGCTAAGAAAGGCAAATTTATTTACAATCTCTAATTACTGATAATAATAACAATACTACTAATAATTTTAATGGCAACAAAATTCAACTTGGGTAGTTCAAAGATAGCGACGAACTCTATTATCCAAACAAACACGATCAACTAGTCACAGTTATTCACACTTTGCAAGTTCAGCACAAAATAAAAAGACGCTTGATTTTTTTTCGGAAAAAAAAACAACGTAAAACATTCACCACCACGAAATACACACACGCACATAGAGATAGAATGATACACTCAAAACTAATTATTAAGATAAGGTCGTGTATACATGAGAAGTAGGAAAAAATATGTAGTAACAAATTATTCAAACAGAAAACATATTGAAAAAGCAAGTCGAATAAGTGAATTAGATTTCTGTTAACAGAGAGTGATGGTAATAATAATAAACAGGTGGACATATATACTACTGACAGTACACACATAGTTGATTAATTATAGTAAATAATCGTACTGATAGTAATATTTATAGAAAGAATTTTCACTAAACCCATTGAACAATAAAGTATAATCACTAAGATAAGGGAATATAGAATGAATAAAAATACTGAATCCAAATATGATGATTGATGTGAATTTCTTTTCTGAAATTATCATCAATATAGAAACTCTCATCAATTCATAAGTGAAAAGGGATACACCTAATGATTACAAATTAAAACGACTATAGTTAATGAGAACAATGACAATTACAATGTCCACTAGGTAACTGATTATCTTCAGTAGTTTGTTCCAGTGCATATGGATGTGAATGTGAATAGTATCTTGAATAGATAGGTCCATTAGCAGTGGTATTAGTAGTAGGAGTAGTAGCATTACTATCTACTGGTGAAAAAACCCCAGTATCTTCGTTTGACTCATGAAAATGAGAGTGATGATGATGATGATGATGAACGTGATTCGTAATTACTAATTGTTTCATACGTTGTTCTAGTTGATTACGCAACAAATTATATTGATATAGTATAGCATTACGATATTCACATTCCTCTTTATCGAGTATACGTAGGAAATTTGTTAATTCTGCTGTCGTAAAGTCTTTCCACTGTAAAAGCGTAAGAGAAATGAGAATTAAATAACAAGCATATATATGTATATATTCAGGGGTCAGATATGCAAATAGACCAATGGGAACATGCCAATAGGATCCGTTCTATACTATCATGATTTATTAAGCTGTAATTCAAACTTAAGAGGTAACAGAGTTCTAGAAATCAATCTAGATGATATACCTTTTGATCCCGAAGTGGAATTTTATATTTATGGAATTATCTTGTTCAACTTAATTCAAGTAATGACTGATCATTTGAAATCAAATACAACATTCATTAATTTTATTTAAAATAAAATTCAAAATACTCTTTACCGCATGAAGTACGTTACAAGCAAGCTGAACTTTTTACAGTAACTGATCATTTAATAATGATCAACATCGTATTTGCTTAATTCATAGAGCGATCGATGCAAAATAGCTATTAAATTGAACGATATAAGACATTGTGATACACATTATTTGATATTATGTGGTTACATGTCATGTAATTACATAATTAGCATTAATCGATTAATACTAGTCACTTGAAAACTTGAATTCTATTAACAAGAAACTTATATGATTCAGTATGAGAAATACAACAAATTGAGGTTCATATATTCGGCTTCTCTCTGAAATGATCAATAACATTACTCAGTTAATCAGACTGAAGTAAGTGGAGCAAAATTGGAATCTATAGTCTAATGAATAACATTCCAGGGTTAGTAGAATGAAACAATTCATAATTGTAGAGATTTGTAGCTCAGAGGGATAATTTTGGTGAAATTTCGTTCTCTGAGCTGAATGTTTTATTCATGAACCTTTCAATGTTTTCCAGAACTCCTACCTGAATTTTGTACTGCTATTGTTCAGAAGAACAATGAAAGTTCAACGAATGAACCATCCAGTTCTGAGAAAGAAAATTCATCAAAAAAAGATAATGGTAAAAGTTTTAAAAAAAATTGAATCGAATAATAAAATAAACTACTTACCTCTATATCACAAGCATCATTTTCTTGTAGTACAATACGTTTTTGTTTCAACAATTCTAAGAATTGTTCACGATTTGTACTTATACGTACCCAATTTAATAATAATAGAAGAGGACATTCAGTTGTAGTAAGTTTTCGAGCGCTAACTATAAAATTTAACAAAATAGAAAAATATCTATACATTTAAAAAGAGGTTCCTTCTCCTAAATTAAAAATGTCTAATAAGTTTAAATCTGAAATTCCTTTTAAACAAAGATGATATTTCAATAGTTATTGAAGATAAGGATCTTGAAAACAAAGAAAAAAGAAAAATCGTATCATATAAAATCATCTAACCACTTTTCTCTCAGCGTACAAATTTGACAGTCGAAATGATCAAATCCAAGTTATTCAAAGCTCTTTAATTCTTATAGATTAATAAATAAAATTTGATGATTTCAATAGTCTCACTGTCTGAGCTGGATAAGGTTTAGTCGTGGAGCATTCATTGTTCTTCTGAACACCGTTGGGGACAGCCAACACATTTTAAATACAAAATTACAGAATATCTTGGTAAAATATGAGGACCACACATTGAACACTCCATTTTCGAATTTCCACCATATGTTCTTCACAATTTGTATGATTCTTCCAGTTCACAAACCCTTTCTATTTTCTTCAACTCGATCTTCTTAGTCTTCTGCTGCCAGGTTTTCCACTTACAATCGGTGTTACATACTACCTATGTCGCAAGTAGCATACATCAAAATATGACTAACAGATTGTTCTGTCGACCTAGATCTTGATAAGTTATTGTTGACCTTTAATTTGTCTGCATTTGCATTTTTAATTTTGATCATCTCTCCATATGATCTCATATTCTAGATCCTATATTTGCTTATGATGTTATTCAGAAGAACAATGAAAACTCGACGACTAAACAATCTAGCTCAGAGAACGAAACTCAACAAAAATCACCCAACTCCGTTAAAATTCATGAATCACAGCTAGTTGTCGTAAGAATTAGATAGATAGATTAATACTAGGCATTGACTGTCTGAACTATGTTAAAAGATTTAGATTTCCTTATCAGAGCACACGCAACAGGTGATGCGATGTAAAATTAGTCATAGTGGTGAAGTTCCATTCATTCGCTATCTTTATATAAATCTCCAGTTTAATATTATTGACCAATGCTTTTGATTCTTTGTTCCTCTTCTCATTCACTAACCTCAGATTTCGCATGTTTAGCTGTTCTCATGGTAGTTGATATTATTTACTCTTATTTGTTTCTCATTTTGTTAATTTCCTTTATCTCTGTAATAATGTAAGGTAAAAACAACTTAGACTGAAATAAATTTATGTCAGAACCTCTAGAGACAATATTGAAAGATCAAAAGACAAATTTCGATTATAGTTCGATATTTAAAAAGTATCACAGAATAAAACTTTCCAGATCATCACTGCCTACAGAAATGAAGTATTAAAAAAACCATTTAAAAATATATATCACTCAACTCACTTGAACTATCTTCTAAAGTATGTTCATACAAGGCGAATTTACGAGCAGATTCTTGTATATGAAATCGATCTAACAACGATTGAATAGCATTAGCTGAAGTTGTAGAACTGAAACAAATAAATAATGAGTATATGTGTTCACAGTTTAAACCATGAGGTGAATGTAATTAAACAATCATTGAAAACAGGAAAAAATCAAACGATTAGATTAGTCTTGTTATAATATGAAGCATCACCTTATCAGTCCTCATCCTTAAATCAACCATAAGTCGAACCCACGACATCCAAGTCTTACATTTGTACCAAGCTCTATGGTGACCGTGTTTTTTACTTAATTATTTAAACACATAAACATTGGGACAAGGAGACAACAAATATATGTGCAACACACAAATCATTCGATTCATATGAAGGCTGGAATACTGATCGGGTGCACAAATCAAATCAGGTTGTTCTCTTACAGCACCACATCCACAGCTTTACATCTAAAGGTATAATCCATAAGGCTGTGGAACAACTTTAGGAGATGAAGTCTCATGGTAGTAGTCAGTGACCAACAATAGGTTCATCATACATGGTTTGTTCCCTCTGGATTATGGAACCCATATGAACCACAAGTTTGGAATCAGATATTTCCAACTCCTTTAGTTGGATCCTTCATATCCACCAACACAGTTAAACAGTCAGACATTCGCTTTTCGTTTGATCGATTTCGTAAATAACACCCTCATCGCGAGAAGTCAGTGAGTAGGACTTCCGTGACAGTGGCTGTATCTGTGTGGCCATATGAGAGCATTTCGAGAGGGATATGTGACTTTCCCCACCCTCAGCCGTACCAGGACATTTGGGGGCATGACTAACTGAGTCAATTGATGCTATATATGATGTAATTACAACATATATCATGTTTGTATTATAGGCGACAGTAAACATGCTAAAATTCAAAAGTAGCTGAAAAGTATACACATAAACCATTTTAAATCATCTTAAATGACAAGACAAAATATTTTCTTAAAGATATTAATTTAATTTTTAGTATGGTTGCTACAGTAATCAAGAATTTATCATATATATATATATATAATCATAAAATATGTATGTACTATAGTCTACTAATTACACCCTTTTGTGTATTGAAAGAAGACAGATTGTGTACAATTACAACTCAACTGTTCGCAAATGCAGTGTCTATAAGAATATGTCAAAGATTAACTTTAACAATCCTAAGAAAAGTTTTAATAATTAGTCTAAACATCGTATTAAAAGTAGGATATAATGGCTATAAAGTCAAATTTATCAGTCATAATATTTTATGATGATTGTTAAGAAGACTTCAACCATGAATAGGAAGATTCAATTTTAAAACTAGACGACGTTAGAAAATTGAGGTTTAAAAATAAGCAAATCATTCGGCAATAAGTTAAGTCTATCATTAAAATCTTGTTTGACGAAGGTGATACAAATCAAAAGTACTGATGAACTATTAATTAGTTCACCAGAAGAAAAACGTGGAACTTTTCCCGAGTATCTTGTATATGCATATACTCAAATGCAGATATCAAAGACACGCACATTTCAATTATATACATATAATCATAGATGGTCACGGTTGTTAATATGAGTTACATGCAATCATAGAATGGGCGAACGAGTCCACTCATCCTACAAGTACATATAGGCATATAGGATTTCGCTCGCAAGTATACGATACATGTACATATAGAACGCATAAACCGAGGCTCATACACTCCTTAAGATACATGTAGGTATAGATGTGATCACCTCAGAGCGTATCCCAGAAGTATTTTGGGTAATCAGTTCCGTCTCTGCTGTGTCGCTTGCGTTAGTTCACGAGGAGAAAGATCACCCTCAATCCAGGAAGCACCACGCGGAAGTGAAAGTCGGACTTTGTCTTCAGAGTAAACGAGTACATGAAATAATTCCATCCAACTCAATCAACGGGCCACTTTCATGACACAAGTACCTGAGGTTCCATAATCTAAAGTTTGTTCCTTGGTGATTAACAACCACAATCGATGTACAGAATGAATCATTCTTTCTCATAGCCCAACTCTGTGACTAAATGATGGTACGTTAAAATGTCATTGGATTTACTTTGAGGGTAATTTTTTATTTATATTTCACTGTTGTCCAAACTGATATAGTTCAAAGATTGCTCCCACAAAGTTTAACTTGTTGTTACTTGGTATCATGGATGTCCTTCTCCCCTCAATGACATGTAACAATTCCATAATGAACAAATATGTGGTTTGACTCTACGTCATTCCAATAGGCGCAGTTCGTGTCTCAAAACACGTGAACAGGAATCTGTATCCCTTTTCTAATAAATCTCCCCGCCGAACTACAGAAGAATCAAAGCAGTTTAGCTTACCTTTAAGCATTCAACAGTCCCGCTTTATCAGTTATTCCTAATCTAAACTGTAGGAGGATTTAATCATTCTAGTTGAAGCTCACATTATAGCTGCAACCTGAGGCTGAATGATATAGTTGGAAATCCATAATAGCATTCGTTAATTATCTAAATCTTGCATTATTTCCGTCATCTTACACATTTCATTCTTAATTCTCATTCGTTGCTTTTGGAACTACGTTTTCTGATATTCGACTTATCAATAAACACATTATTATTATTAGTTCCATTTTTTTTCCTTTTCATCTTACTAATCGTTAGACCTCCAGTACGTTATCCTAAGATTGATCAGCCATTGAGTTCGTTCATACATATCTGAACCCTTGTTGATGAAAATGTACTTTCCATATTAGACGGTCGGCTCAAAAGACTAATTCATATTCTCACCATTAAACAACTGATATTCGATGTTACTTTTTTTGTGAAAAGTTGAAAAGATGCAGTAAATTCATGGGATGTAAATGATTAATCTTTTGACTGGACGCTTGAATCAGTTTCCTAAGCTCTTCCAATAACCAATCTACACGACAAACTGAACATGAGAGAAAAGGCACGAAATATGGAAGGAACGATTTCCTCTAATCTTAGTTTATTTACAGGAAAGTGAGGGTATTTATGGCATTCCAGATGATCTCTGGTTTTTGGAAGATTATGGAACCCTACTAAACAAAGTAGCAGGATAGGTAATCATCAAATCAGAAATGAGACACGTGACTTTACTTTCTAGATGTTTCTGACAAACTTCCATTCAATGTTGATTGAATAAAATGCTTCCCAGCACTTCTCAGGCACCTTTTGTGGGGGGGGGCTATTCTGGGTCTCCTCAACAAAAAACAAATGAAAATTCCGTAATTTCATGCCATGCATAAAAAATTTCAGCTGTTCAACTTTTAACTTATAAGCACCATATGTTTTATTTAATTGATTAATTAGCCACAAGAAATTTCAGAAATATAAATGAAATAATTTGGACATAATCGGTTTTCACTGAAATCAAACAATTTACCAAATATATTGCGTGCATAAAGAATAATTCAAGGATCCGTAACTGAGTGCATTTCTTTCTAAATCAATGAGAACAAAGACCAACCATCTGTATAAAATCACTAATATTAACATCCAGCTGACGAAACTGGAGGTGGGGTCGATTTTGAACATGAGGCTTATGTGTTAAAAGTCAAGTGTAAACTTTAAAAAAGCACCAAGGATAAATAAATAATTTTCGTAAATTGAATTATGAACCGACCTTATCTAAACTACCATTCCAAAACTGGAGGCACTGGACAGACGATTCGTCCCAGTATGGGACTACTACTTAAGTCTCCATCTCCCCCCCCCTCCAATCGGTGACTGGTCTCGCATGAAAACGTTTAATCTCTAAACCACTGAACCAATACTTCCTTGTTTAACTTCAACTAATTCATAATATCGCGCAATCATCTTTCAGTGCACTTAATGGATACCTCTTCACGCTCGACATGGATACAAATTCTCACTAGAACTCCTGAAATTATCTCTTGAGATAAGTCACTAGCGAGTACATGATTAACTACTCTAGGGGTTTATGGAGATTGATTTCGGCTTTATAAATAATATCGCATGAACGTGTACTACTGAGGAGTCTCATAATAGGTCGAAACATCCGTCTAGTGCTTCCAGGTTTTCAACGGTGGTCTAACATTGATCGATTCATGATCTCAATCAAAATGCTTTGTGTCTATTATTTACAAAATAAAAATGCACTTACCTTGTCACATAAACTACTTTTGAAGTACCTCTTGGTAGAAAAAATGAGACTAAACGTGGTGGTGTTGGTACAGCATTATTCTCATCCCCATTTTCATTTAAATTCACTTTAGTTGGACTATTTGGTTCAGGTGACGCTGTTGCACTTGATGGAAACATATCCAATGTACGTCTTAAAGACATTTTCACCGGTTTAATAAGATTAATATAAATGCGTAGAGTGCCAGCAAGTCGACAAGAATCATCCACCTTTAGGTATAACACAGTGAAGTGTAAAATTATCAAGATATAAGTTAATTCAAAAATAATTGCGAAAATACCAATTGGTCGTACGTAAAAAAAAGTCTAAGAAAGTTTGTAGAGTATGACACCATCTGAGAATCGAACTCATCAAAAGTTCAAATACTTTATCACTTTTACGATACTTTAATCAAATGTGTAGCACTTTATGGATAATTGTATTAGATGTGAATCCCATAATTGCCATGCTTCTGCCTAAAATTAATACTGAACGTAAACTACACACATTTACACCATTTATCAGTAGTAATAAATGGAGCAGTTACTAAATGTCTCTAGGACATACAACCTTAAAATCATCCACGATGATAAATAAATGGTCAAATCCCAGCCTTCTGAAGTTTGCTGAAGATATTGCTATCAGGTGTCAGAAACTTGATTTATATGTTCCAAAGGAGATAGTTGTTAATCCTTCTATATTCGATCACACAAAAGTTTCCTCATTACATAGTGAAATTTAATATAATTCTTTTTTTCAATTATTTACATTACGTACTTTTTAGAATGTTTTCTAGATTGGTAATCTTTTTTCAATTAACTGAACTTTACTCATTTTATTCTTAAGTATTATCAGTGTCTACTCATTATGTAACCACTTGTTTGTAGTCCTGTAGACCTTTGTTACTGTCAATGAGATAGAATTTTCTTATATATAAGATAAATCTTACAATATTTCATTCAATCTATTGAACATTGTTTACATATTTGCTAACTAACACAAGCGGCTAGAAAAAGATCGGGCTGCACTTCCACTCTGCCTACACTGATGGAGACTGGACTAGTCTTCCCATCCTATCTTAAACATTAACTGTCTTAAAAGACAGTCAGATACAGAAAAATGTAACGTGAATAACTGGAGCAAGAAATTTTTCTATTGGTGCTTGACTGGATTATCTCTAAGGTAGCCTATGGGGTCTGATATAAACCTGAACGGCCATAAACTGTCAAGTAACCAGTACACAACGGTTGACACTGGATTTATTTATGGTATCAACGTAAAGAGTTAAGTGTCAATAGACGACTTTACAACTGAAGATTTGAAGGCAAGTAATTTATTCAGTTACTAATGCTACTGGAATCCAGCAAGGGGAAAACAAGACTAAGTCGCATCAATACCTCTGTGTACACCATTGAATGTATATGCTTTGGTCTATTCATAGATCCATGTGATATATATTTGCGACAGCGCGCACATGTGCTTGTGTGTACTATAAGATGTGTTGGTTCATATTGGTGTATTTATTATTGATCACAATGCTCCCAAATGCTCTGGGGAAAGTCAATTATCCCTCTCGAAATGCTCTCACATGGCCACACAGATACAGCCACTTTCAAGGAAGTCCTACTCACTGACTTCTCGCGATGAGGGTGTTATTTACGAAATCGATCAGACGAAAAGTGAATGTCCGACGCTTTAACTGTGTTGGTGGATATGGAGGATCCAACTAAAGGAGTTGAAAATACCTGATTCCAAACCTGTGGTTCATATGGGTTCCATAATCTAGACGGAACGAACCGTGTATGAACCAACGGTTGGTCACTGACTACTACCATGAGACTTCATCTCCTAAAGTTGTTCCACAGCCTTATGGATTAGACATTTAGATGTAAAGCTGTGGATGTGGTGATGTAAGTGAACAACCTGATTTGATTTGCGCACCCGATCAGTATTCCAGCCTTCACACGAATGGAATGATTTGTGTGTCGCATACATATTTGTTGCCTCCTTGTTCCAATGTTTATATGTTTAAATAAATTAAATAGATCGCAAAGGCATTTGGGTCATTACAATGTTTGGGCATAGAAAAGTGCAACGGTTAACGAGTCATTCTGCTTCCGTAAAATATAGTTAAATCGAAGTCTCCACTGATACACGAATTGTATCAAATTAAACTGGCTAATGTGTTTGTCTAGTTCGACTTCGCCAGTGATCCCAGTTATACATAACTTTATCAAAACTCTTTTTTCCCGAAAAGTCAGTCAACTTTCCTAATTAGTTGGTTGGGCAGGCTAAAACAAACTTATTGTTTTTGAAGAAAAAAATTATCTCCAGTATCCATAAAAAACAAAAATTCTAAATTGATGAATGAGACAAATAATTTTCATGAATTGACCAAAACAAAATGAATCATGGCTGTACAAGAGAGAAAAAAAAGGACATGAACATAACAATGACTCATTTAAATTATGATTCATGAACATATGAGATAGATAAATCTATTGTAAGATAAAAAGTACAAACTTTCTGCAAGTAATTCATGTTGACTGTCTCATAGTTTACGTGTTATGGAACGTAAACTAAATTACATTTTTTCCTAATGTCTAATATGAATTATTAGAAGGGGTGTTATGGAGATTTTAGTAATTTTATAATTGAATTCATGAGTCAATTGTAAAGTTAGACCACCATGGAAAACCTGGATGCAATGGACGGTCGTTTCGTTCTAGTATGGGATTCCTCCTTAATAGTGCTCATCCACGATCACGCCCGGCAAGATTCCAAGACAATGGTGAACGATGGCTCAATCTCGTGGATTCGTTGAAATTATACATTAACATCGTTGGATGCCGGCTCAGTGGTCTAGAGGTTAAGCGTTTGCGTGCGAGACTGATAGGTACCGGGTTCGAACCTTGCGGGGTGGGATCGTGGACGTGTACTGATAAGGAGTCCCATACTAGGACGGAACGGCCGTGCATTGCATTCAGGTTTTCGATGGTGGTCTAGCTTCACAAATGACTCATGAATTCATCTAATATGAATAATATATATTTAAGGTATGAGAAGAGAATCATAACCGGTTTACCAAATCGCAGACATTTTACGGATTAGGAGTATAATCTGGTCCCATTGGATCTACTTCTAAGAAAATGTTTGTAAATACAATTAAGAACTACATTCTTGAATAGACATGGAAGAACTCTCTTGTAAACATAAGATAATAGGTTCATATTTAGTACAACGGTCAAAAAAAGTCTATTTTTATCGGATGTATTGATGACATTCAATCTTATATTGGATTGAACATATGTGACTAGATATGTAATTCAGTCATATTATCTTGATTACAATCTTTTTGAAGCTTACCATGGTACTGTAAGTGCTTGTAGAGCTTTAAATTCAAGAGATGAAACCAAATAACAGGACTGAATAATAATCTACATCTGCCACAGTTCTATATTACAAGACGATACTCTGATAGCGACCTCATCGCTTGATGACGTGGTTGTATGAGAAGGCTCTCCTCAGTGGTTATATGTTCACAACCACTTAGATCTTGTCTGAAGGGTTGGTAAATATTCTTACAGCTATCTGTTCGAGAATACTCTGCCTAGTCATTGCACTTCTTTCTAACTTCTATCGTATAATTAGGTCTTACTAAATGAGACTTCTTAGAGCAACATAGGGGCTAATGATAACTACCCGGTTGCAAAAACAGAAGTGGAGTTTGAACTTGGAAATTAGTGGCTGAAAATTGAACAATTTAACCACACTAAGCTGCATACCTAACATAAATTAATAGTCAGAAGGAAACTACGTAACAATTAAATTTCACTTTTGCTAGACGATGACTATACTAGTAAAAAAACAAGACATTTAAAATATTGTTTCCCTCGGACAAATTTAGTCGAAGAATAACAATACTTATTAAGTACAATAAACTCATTGTATTTCATGGCTTTCCCTTCAGATATATACAATCAATCAGTTAGTTATGATGAATGTAGCACCTGACCCACGTGACCACATCACAATACTACAAACAGACGAAATTAATAAAGATGAACAGCAAAGGAGTTGAAACCACCATAGTGGCAATTATAGAAAAAAAAACGAAAGAAAGAAAGGATATTAAGAATATACTTGGAAAAGAGAGTATCTATGAAATGTTACTGAAAGATAACAAATGCATGTATCTATACCACTGTGACCAATTCTAGGCTATATCACCCAAAATCTACAACCACTGATTGTGACTATCGAGCGGACACCATAACCAAGTATTTTGCATCTATCAACATTGATTAAAATAGGTATTATCAATTTCAAATCTAAATTAACTGAAGTTATAAATATCTATCAAACTGAGAAAACAACGTAAAACAGTAAATTCATAGTATTCTACATGAAGTATGCAACAGTGACTATTATTGTGTTTAATAAAAGTTCCTATTATACCAACTTTTCCAGATATAGAAATTCATCAAAAAATCGATTTGTTTATAAATCATGTTTATTTTGTAATTCAATCAACCACATGTTATGGAAATAAAGCAACATATATATCAATAAATCTCCGATAGTTGCTAAGATACACACTTGATGTTATTGTGAATTTAAACATGTACGCAAAGTGTGTTTTTTTTGTAAGTTAAGAAAAACACTTCTTTGTAACTAATCATCACATATATTTATTAGCGTTGTCGAGATTCACACTGAAATGGTAACCATTATGATTTGAAGATAATTTTCCATGACAAGCTGAAGCCAGTTACAAGAAGTTTTAGAAAAATAAACAATTATTTCACCTTAGTTCGAAACATTTTATAATAAAAATCAATTTCATTATCTAATATACAGAAATCAAGTCTAATATGGATACTTCTATAACAACTTATCCACTAGTAAGTTTTCATTTGTGTAGCTTACATGACGAAAAACTTTAGTTAGAAAATGAAAGAGTACTGGAAAACGATTTTATCCTAGTTTGAGAACCCTTAACAATGTGTATCCACGCCCCCCTCCTCGGATGATCGAAAACTAGGACCTACTGGTCTTGTAGGGATAACCTGACAGACTACCAGGTCAGGATTCAATGGTTTACATTCCCAACTTCAGTCACTTAATCATATTACGCAACCGTCTTCTAATATCATTGGTGAGTAACTGTCTCATATCCGACATATTTGAACTCCACTGGTCACAGTGGTTCACTGAAACTCCAGCATTTATCGCTTAAAATTAATCACTAGTGACCATATGGTTATAATTAGAGAAAGAGATTCATGGAGATCACTGAATTTTATAGTTTACATTCCGAACTAACTTGCGACTGTTTATATTCCAAGTTGTGATGTTATGATAGTTGCACAAAATCTGCTCCGAACCACAGTGTAAGTATTTGAAGATGAAATTATTCGAGTTCACAGTTTCATAGATTTGACTGTATTAAAACGTTATTCATTACAAGCCGCTGACATCAGTCAAAGAACTGTTATTAAGAGAGTAATAGGTAGATGTTGTAGAAGAATAAACTGATATGACAAACAAAACTACGCAGTGAACGTCAGGAATTAAATTTATTGGTAACTCAGTTAAATCACAGTCGCTTTTATATTATCTGACTTATTGTAGTGAATAAAAACACCACTGGAAACATTCGAATGTATTTAACAAAAAATTACAGGACTTGTTAATAAAATCTAACGATCATAAAATAAATGTTTAATTTGCAAAATGTCTCAAAATGACTCAGAGTTCATTGTTCTTGCATTTTCATACAAATTGCATTCTGCTTCCATTCTTTACTGTTCGATCCTCTTGTCGCTCTGCTGCCAGACCTTCTGTTCACGAATAACATCATATACTACTTATATCAATATAAGTAGCACACACCACACTTGTCCTCCCTTTTAAAGCAGTCGTTCTTGCGGTGCTTCATATTCGCCGTGCCACATTCTTCGTTATTATTTATGTGATCGGATAAGAAATTACTAGTTAGATATATGGTCTTTGGATATTCATCTAGTGATATCGTATTAGCAAGTATAGGTTTAATTACGCAAATTTAGGCCACACTTCATATGTGAGGACTAACGACACTACTAAAGTACCTTGAATGATGTTTAAGTTTTTGAACCATTAAACTAGTGAGATTTTCGAACAATCATCGATCAACCACTTTATTTATTAATTGATTTAAACACATAAACATTGGGACAAGGAGGCAACAAATATATGTGCAACACACAAATCATTCGATTCATATGAAGGCTGGAATACTGATCGGGTGCACAAATAGAAGCAGGTCGTTCTCTTACAGCACCACATCCACAGCTTTACATCTAAAGGTCTAATCCATAAGAGTGTGGAACAACTTTAGGAGATGAAATCTCATGGTAGTAGTCAGTGACCAACCGTTGGTTCATACACGGTTTGTTCCCTCTGGATTATGGAACCCATATGAACCACAGGTTTAGAATGAGGTATTTCGAACTCCTCTAGTTGGATCCTCTATGTCCAAAAAACACAGTTAAAGAGTCAGACATTCGCTTTTCGTTCGATCGATTTCGTAAATAACACACTCGTCGCGAGAAGTCAGTGAGTAGGACTTCCGTGACAGTGGCTGTATCTGTGTGGCCATGTGAGTGTTTTGAGAGGGATATGTGACTTTCTCCACCCTCATCCGTACCAGGGCATTAGGGGATATCTATCTGTCGTCACCGCGTTCATTGTTGAACATGAATGAAAGAGATAGAACTGACCTACAAACTACATATATGGTAGTGTAAATAAATATTTGAAAACGGATTCTCTTGGATTTGTTGGAGACAAATATGAATGATATCAATTTTAATCTTTCATATTAAGTAAAATGTGTTGATTTTATTATTTAAATATTAAGAAAATCTAAATTATATATTCACAACTCATTTTTACTAGTTGTACAGAACGAATATAAGATGACTCGAACTTATACCCATAGAATATTCAGTTACATGATTAATAACTACTGTCCTACATATTTGCGACAACCGTCCAGTGATTTAGTCACCTTATACAATACTTGAATTAGAGTAGTTTGCCTAACACCAAACTATACTAATATGTAAGTACAAAAATGATTGCCAATATGTCTGTATTACTTACTGATATGATGTCCTATATATGAAAAAACTAACTCTAACTGCCGAATATATGACTAGAATATCACAAGGGAAACTAGTAATTTAGTGTACAAACAACGAGTTTATAGACATAACTTTGTGGTTCAATGGGAAAGACCAATTGTTTCTAATCAGCCATAGTGCATTCAAATACTTATAATCTTAATGTATACCTACCCTATCAGATGATAATTATTTAATTTTATGACTATCTTCTTACACTCACATCCAAAAAAACCAAATACACATGCAGTAGAGTGTTGAAAAAAAAAACAATATAAAACAACTCTGTACTATGTAAGTGTAAGTCACATTAAAAAGACTTAGGTCATCTGCTGCGCTAATTTCATGAGAAGCATCGTTCAATTAGACACAGGCAACAAGACAGAGAACCAGTGTAAATGAGTTAGTTTAAGTTACTTTAACATAAACTAGCCTAACCAGAGAGAAAATTAACAAAATAAAAAGCTAATCAGTGGAAATAATAGTAATAATAAAGATGCTAAACTAAGTATAGATAAATGCAGCTTTTAAAAAAAAAACGAGTGACACTGAAGAACGAAAACTATGAAAATAACACCAAACTTAAAATTCAGAGGAAAATAAAATGCGTAAATGTAAAAGTGGTATTCTGTGAGAACTATTAATTACTTCGTACGTGATTGCCCACTGATTACGGATTTCAAATACAATACGTTCATTTGTACTCATCTAGTTCTACCCGTCTTAAATTGCACTATTTCGGGAATTCTTAATTACCACACTAATTCGAATACTTTTAATTATCATGGTAAACCATATCATTGTAATTGACATTCAACCAACAACATCACCCCATTATCTCTTTAATTATTTCAGTATTTCATTAAATCAATATTTTCATCATATTACATAGGAAACATATGGAATAAAACACAAAACTTACAAAATTTAATCGTAAACCTAAAGGATTCGAGTTGAATATATCCACCCAATGATGAACACATGGTCGAGATAATGTATCTAAATTAGGTAATTGTAATTCTGATGAATTATTCATATCTTCATTTATATTATTTGTTACATCATGTACAGTTAAACGCATCCATGCTAAACAATCTGAATCAAATGTACTAAAAGCATATGTATTACTATCAGTCATTTCAGAAATTTCAAAACTATCAAAATTTAAATGATGACTTGGTGATAATAATCCAAGTGGTTTATTATCATAATTCGGATAATGATGATGAGTATTGCATGAATTATTTAAAAAGTTTATGTCATCTGAAAGGAGTGAATCTTTACTTCGACATTTTGAATGATTATTATTATCGACATTTTTACAAGCATGTTGTTGTGTAGTATCACCATTAAATTTATATCCAATGTCTATTTTACCTTGATAATAATCATTTCTTAAAATCATATCATTACTATTATTAACAAATAAACTTGGTGTTGTTTCATTCACTTCAGATGTTAAATCCAAATTCCATGGAACAGGTGGAGGTAATAAGAGAGAACTACAACATGTTGGAGAAACTGATCTACTATTCTGGTGTTGTTCATCTGCTCTATGAATTGGATCAACATCTGAATTATTTGAAGAAGTAGTTGTAGATGGAGGTATAATAGGCGAAGCGATTACATCTTGATGACTGTCCAGCAAAGATGGTGGTATCGTGGTATTGTTATTGTCTGAACGATCACTAACAGATGAAGAGAAAATTATGGGTGATGGTGTAAGCCGTGAAGAAGAGGAATGCTCTTGAGCATTATTATTATTATTATTATTATTATTATTATTATTATTATTATTATTATTATTATTATCAATTAATTGAGATGATCCAGTAATCAATGATAACTTTCTACATTCAGAATTTGGTTGTGAATAGTTTTCTTCACATGAATGATGACGAAGATAGTGAACATTAGAAATTTGATCGTCATTTACAGTAGTTTCCAGAGGCAAACTTGGTCGACTTATTAAAAAGTTCGATCTTAGATTAGCTGGTGATAAATTAATTGGACGTACTGTATCATAACTAGAGTTAGTTTGAATTGACTCTGATTGTGCATTGGAATATATAACACCAGAATGATTGAAATGAGAATTTCGTGTGTTCAGGCAATGGTTGATCAGTTCATTTGAAGAAAAAACTTCATCAACTGACTTCACAGGTGCATAGTTATTATTATTATTATTATTATTATTATTATTATTATTATGACATTTCTGACTTGAACGAGTTTCCTTGGCTAGTTCCGCTAGATGGCAACCAAGTGGTGCACCACTGGTAGGAGTTGTAGCTTCACTAGCCACAAGTCCAGTAGAGGACGTCACAACCTAAAATAAACAAAAACAAATCGATAAATAGGAAAATGGAACACTTTATTTTATATATAAAAAACTAAGCTAATAACAAAATACAGTTTAAATTTGAATGGAAAATACACTTGTTCGAAAAAGTCGAAGAGAAAATAGAAATTTCCGAAGGTTGTATGCATTTACTTTACATGTCGATAGCCTTTTTCGGAGAAGCCACCATTTATGTAAGAAAAAATCACCAGCAATCGTGAACTGACTATAACATAATACACACATTACTTAAAAGAATAACAAATGACTGTAAGTGACCAGTTACAAAATGTTTGGGGTCTAAAAAGGAACTAACCACACCAAGTATTAAGTTAAGCCCTGTAAAACAATGAGAAACGAATGATCGATAATATATACAGACATAGGAGGCCTAAACTGAAATAATAGTTTTCATTACCTCATTAACTGATTGCCATTCCGCACGAAATTAAACCAGAAACATGGTTGAAGCGAATCAGTTAGATTTATCACCAACTACTCCATGATAATGATCTACAGACAAGTGTGTTTACAGAAAACTCAAATTATCCATAATACTTATCAGTAAAATATGCCTAGACTACCACTTGTTCTTCCCAAATGTCTTTATAACAACTGTAATATATCATTAAACTAGGTAACAGGCCGTTTTTTAAAGTTCTATTGACTGATGTTTTGAAGATCCCCAGTGTAGTTTGACTGCCAGCTTTACCTTTATGTATGATCCTAGTCAAACAGGGAGACGATGAAGTTTTCAAACAGGTATACGCACTAGCTTAGGAAACCTCCCGATACAGCCTAACGCGTTTAATTAGACGTAAATTTACTAGTATAGGGGTTGTGGAGATTATTAAGTTTTTGATTGAGATCATGAACTGATTGATGTTAGACCACCACCTTTGGAAACCTGGAAGCGCTGGACGGCCGTTTCGTCCTATTGTGGAACTCCTCAGCAGTGCGCATCCACGATCCCGCACGCGGGATCATTGGATGCCGGCTCAGTAGGTTAAGCGTTCGCACGCGAGACCGAAGGCCCTGGGTTCGAATCCTGCGTGCAGGATCGTGGATGTGCACTGTTGAGGAGTTCCACAATAGGACGAAACGGCCGTCCAGCGCTTCCAGGTTTCCAAAGGTGGTGGTCTAACATCAATCAGTTCATGATCTCAATCAAAGACGTAAATTTGTTGACTGGAATTTCTGTATTGACATAAATCAGTAGTTGAATTATGTAGTGAAAAATACGAGATTTACTATTTGTTCCAAATTATCTAAAATTGACATGAAATTGTTCTAGTCGATGGGATGAACCATTAGCTTAATGGAAGGCTAACATAAATGTGCCAAACTAATATCATAGTTCTAAGTGAGCATTATGGACATTAAAAAGATATTCTAAATATTCATAATCCAAGGAAAATATGATACCTGTATAAAGAGAGGAAATCATACATATAGTCATAGTAACTCACTGGAGCATTTTGATGATAATATCTTGAAGAGTTTCGTGGGTGCACAGGTGGAGCTAAAGAAAAATCAAATAAGAAAAAGATTGGCATAAGTACGATATCGAATTATTGCTTAGTTTATCGAATATTATCTAGTGAATACAAAATACGAATACGTGATTTTATGTCTCTGCGTTTCCCTTGTACGGCCAAAAGTGCAGACTCTATTCTCTTTTCGAAACACATCTATAGAGCCATGAGTTCTCAACCTTTGCCAGGGATCGCCTACTGATTGTCTTCAAGTGACGGTGGTGTTGTTTACTTAAGTAAAAGGACGGAAAGTAAACATCCAGTGCTGAAAACAGATTGTCGGACATGAAAACCGATTATAAACCAATTGTGTAAATGAACTCAAGGATCTTGATGGAACGAATGATATATAAACCTATACTGTGGTGGTTGGGGGGGTAGTCTACAAGAAAGCTTGAATCTAAGTTTTGTGTTATTTGGTACGCTTCAGTAAAGTATACCTGTAATCTTGAGGGAATCGATGAGCCCTGATGGACTTGACATACGTGACATTGGTCACTAATCATTGATTAAACAGTTATAAAGAGTATATAAACCTATTTTGGTCACCAACTAACTTATGGATTGCATCTCCTTTGAATAAAAGAAGTCTTTTTAGATTTGATTTTATTGTATACTATACTGTTAGGTATGCAGAGGAATATGCCAATAATTATCGTGTCAAGTCGAATGGTGTCCTTGGACGTTAAATGTACATTTCCTATTGGTCGATATTTGCTTCAGTTGTTTAATATTGTGTAAATGTTGTTTCCTATTTTTATGGTATGATGTGGTCTGCTTGGTTAGTATATAAACAGAGTGTGTTTTAAATATAATGATTCATATCTCAGAGGCTGTGACTTTCGTTCTGGACTCAACTGGCTGGGATAGACAGGGAAGCAGGGCCAATCAGGACACTAGGTCGTTCGTACGCATTTACGTGTCACTGTAACCGATCGATCGATATAACGCTGCTTATCAAAACCTGCAGTCAGTCACCCGTTACAACATATACTTATTCACTTATTTTGTGTTTTATGCTTGTACTTTCTTTCTGTCATTGGTTTTTTCAGAATGTTATGTCTTTATTTTATGTAGCGCATACTTTTTTGGTGCCCAGTTATACCGCATTTGTGTATTAAATAAGTCAATAAATAAAAAATAAATATAAACCAATTTTTAAATTAAAGGTTGTCAATCAACAACGGATTATTTAAACATCTATGATAAAGAAAAAAAGTCTTTTCAAAGCCGAAACAATCCAATGATAAGATTGGGTAAATTTATTGAAATTTAACAACTTAGAATAGGTCGATACTTTTTATATTAGGAAACGTTCAACTCAACCAGTTGTATAGACTATAGAGATTAGCATTCAGCTATTCATTCACAGTGATTCCACGTTTTCAAGGGTGGTCTAACTTAATTCGGTTCATGATTTCAATTAAATTCAACAATCTCCACAACCCCTTACTGATAATCATCATGTACTCACTAGTGACTAGCTTCAACAGAAAATTTACGGAGTTCTAGTGAGAAGCCGTGACCAGTGGAGCTAATACATGTGCGATGAAACAGTTAGCCACCGTAAACAATAGAAAATACTCGCAAAATGTTGTGGATTGATTGGATTTAAACATCAACACCTTTGGATTCCGAGTTAGTGATCTAGAGATTAGGCGTTCAAGCGCTATATTGAAGGCCCTGGGTTTGATTCCCGTGTGTGGAGTAATGGATGCTCATTGCTGAGAAGTTCCATGTTAAAATGAAACGGCTGTCCAGTTTCCAAGTTTTTAATGGTAGTCTAGCTCAGATCGGATCATGTTTTCATTGATAACCCCATCGCGTAAGTTGGAAAATGAGACAAAAACTTGGTGAGTCAACGTTCCAAAGGAATGTAGTACAATCAATGACGAAGTGAAATGTGAAATAAAAATGAGATTAACAAAGACATTCAATTGACGAACGTTAGGACTTATTAAATGAAAAAAAGATATCGTTGAAAACGCGGACCGATCTAAATTAACGGACCATTGGAAACCTGGAAGCACTGGACAGCAGTTTCGTCCTGGTATGGGGCTCCACAGTAGTGGGCATCCATAATCCCGAACAAGGAAATCGAACCCAGATATAATATCGATCTTTGAATATCGACCTAAACATGTTGAGAGGTATACAGTTTCCAGCTAGATTCTGGGAGACAATCATAATAAATAGTTGTAGAAATTAGGTGGCACAAATCAAAGTTGGCTACAATGGTGCAGGTGTAAATCACAAACAATGGAGAGCTTAGGACAAATATGTATTGACAATAGTTGCCATACCATATTAATACTAGGAGACAAAATTAACAAGAGGAATAGTGAAGAAGTCGAAATCCTCATTGTAGCAACGACGATGAGAAAGATCATAAATTAAGAATATGGTTCGAGAAGACGAAATCAAATGTAGATATGAAGGAACATCAACTAACTCAGTCGATACCCACATAGGAACTCATCAAACAGGCCTGCTTTCCTTATGTTACGACTTAAATAAAGCCCTGTTGTTGACTAGTCAACTATTTAACCACCCACGTACACACGAAACACATTTCAAGTGGTTTCATGGTCTAATATCAAGACAGTAATCGCTACCAAACCCATTATTTCATCTTGAAATAATTCGACTTGGTAGAGTCTCAAACTAAGATAAATTGAACATCTTGAGCTCATTAGTCTCGAGAAACTCTTTATGTAATGTTCTCCGGTAAAAACTTTGCGCCGTAATTAGCAAAACTAATAACTACCTAATTATAATCAAACTTGCTATATTAAGATAACCGGTCTGACAACAGTATAAACAACAATGATTTGGTTTATACAAAAAATCTAGAGTATATAAGGTAAGAATTATGTAGAAATTAAAATATCTGTCACAACAAATATACCGTTTTGAGTAATCTAGGACTATGCTGTCAAATAATCAGTATTTATTCCATAACAGATGGATACTGGTATTTCATTAGCTAACTCAAGTTCATATAACAATGAATACATGCTTATTGTAAAATCAATTAATGGGTTTTATGCAAAGATGGATAGTGACCAGTAGTGGAATCCACGACGCGCGTTTCGTCCCATTTAGTACTCGTCAGCTGGATGTACCTGCATCCTAGAGTTGATGTTCACTTCAAACACCATCGTGTTCTCTACTTAGCAACTGAGTCCTGATAGTCACCTGTTTGTGCAATGGGGGAAGTTCAAATTCACTTGGTGTTGTTTTACTTGTATCTTTCCATTTTTATTTAGGACTACAATTGATCAGTTTCATGTTGGCATATGTGCATCCTGTGCGGTTTGCCTCAATATAACCTTAAGTCACAACTTTTTTGGGTTTCAATATCCAATTCCTAAAAGTTAAACCCAAGATTTTCCACTATTCATTCATTTGACTATTGAATTTAATAATTATAATCATAATAAATTATTGGTCGACATTCAAACAAAGATATCTGGTTTAATCAATATGAACTAGTAGTTAGTCCTTGGGATTAGTAACAAACGAAGGATGAAATAGTATAACAACAAAAATATGATACATAATAACAATAATACAATGTATAAACAAACTTTGTTCTTTTTTTTATTTTTTTTATTTCATCAACATCAATAATTCGGATTACTTTATATACACCGATAAATCAAGGCATAAAATGACATGTATCTTCAACTGGAAAGTAGAATAATCATAATCATAAACAACCACATATGACTGACTCATCATCAGTTCACTGTATATTGATTAAATGCCTAGTGTATTATATGGAATAAAGAATGAAGAGAGAATCTTAAAAAGAAAAGTATGTTATTGGACAAGTGGCAACCTGAACGAACAAAGGTTATAGTCAACAAAAATAAAGGTCATTGTTTTACTTTGATGTAACTGTATTATAGTTATTTATTCATTTTGTAATAAAACTGATAGTAACATTTAGTTAACAAAAAATAAAGTTTCAAATAGATAAGACTTTGATCTAGAATCTGCTCACTAATGACTGATTTCAAGAGATACTCCTGGAGTTCTACTGAGAAGCCGTTACCAGTGGAGTTCAACCAGGTCTGTTGTGAGATATCAGCTCACTGAAGACAATGGTATACGGTAGCGCAACTTCGTGGATTATTTGAAGTTAGACATTAACACCGTTGGATGCCGGATCAGTGGTCTAGTTGGTTAAGCGCTTGGCGCGAAACCGACAGGTCCTGGGTTCAAATCTCGTAGGGTGTGGGATCGTGGGTGCGCACTGCTGAAGAGTCCCACACTAGGAACGAACGGCCGTCCAGTGCTTTCAGGTTTTCCATAGTGGTCTAGCTTCAATTGACTCATGATTTCAATCTGTGAAATTTCTAAACTCTCCATAAACGTCTTCTGATTATAATGGTATAATAAATGATTTTTCTCCTTAAAAAATAATCTGAGAAAGTTGATCAGATCAGTTAAGAATATAAGACTGACAATTAACTATAAGATAATAGGAGACCTAAGATCTTATGATATTAGTGAAAGCCAATGGATACTGGATCATTATTGCGTTGTAGTTTGATAATAATTTAAAATGAAAATTAAGTTTAGATTTTTAAAATATTTCAACAAACCATCTCATATTAATATAATCATACATGTACAGGTGACTACCTTCAAGAAGAATTTCGCATAATTCTGTTGGAAGTAACCGTTAACAGTAGAGGCGACCATGTCAAAAATGAGTTACTTGTCAATCCCATAACATAAGGGTCAAGATACAACACGGGGAACAGCGGATCTACGGTACTGTGTTAGTTGTATTTTTAATAGAACTGTTCCTCCTATTATATACTACTTTCGTTTACTTATTGTTATTCATTTATTTATTTTAGATAATATTTCCCCTCCTTCCTACATTTCTCCAGTTTCATTTTCTTGCTTGCGTGATGCATATTTATTTTGGTACCTAGTTGTACCAGGCATTTGTGTATTAAATAAACGAATG